AAAATTCATCAAATGAATGTAAAGTTCGCTTTTTTGAATGGCTTTCTTGATGAAGAGGTGTATGTTGAATAACCTGAGGTTATGTTTTGAAGGGGTAAGGAGAGAAAGTTTTGAAATTAAAAAAGGTTTTGTATGGTTTGAAGTAAGCACCAAAGGCTTGGAATAGTAGACTTGACGAGTACTTTCAAGCAAATAATTTTACCAAGTGTCTCCATAAACATGCTCTTTATGCAAAGGTGAATGATAATAGTGATATACTCTATGTTTGTTTGTATGTGGATGATTTGATCTTCACAGGATATTGTCCAAGAATGTTTAAAGATTTCAAGAGAGCTATGACTAAAGAATTTGAGATAATCAACATTGGGCTTATGTCATACTACCGTGGAATTGAAGTGAAGCAAATGAAAGAAGGTATTTTATCTCTCAAGAAGATTATGCTAAAGTAATTTTGGCAAAAATTCAAGATGCAAGATTGTAAGTCGGTATGCACACCCGTTGAATGAGGTGTAAAATTATCAAAATATGAAGATGGAGAGCATGTGGATCCTACCCATTTCAAGAGCTTAGTGGGAAGCTTGAGGTACTTAACATGCACAAGGTCGGGATATTCTTTTTGGAGTTGATCTTGTAAGTCGTTATATGGAAGCTCCTACCATGACAGATTTGAAGGCGGCGAAAAGAATTCTTAGATACATCAAAGGTACACTTGATTATGGATTTCTATATTCTTGTTCTAACAATTTCAAGCTTGCGGGTTATTGTGATAGTGATTGGGCCAGAGATATGAATGATAGAAAAAGTACTACCGGGTATATTTCTTCATGGGAGATACCGCATTTACTTGGAGTTCAAAGAACCAACCCATTGTGACTCTTTTGACTTGTGAAACCGAGTATGTGACGGCTACATGCTTAAGGTTTTCGTTGTTATCCCTAACCCCTAAATATCATCCCTCAAAACGTATTGTATATGGATGGAGGGGAGTGTCACTCTCCCTCGGAATGATGCAAGAGATAAGGCAACAGAATGGTGGATAGAATGGAATGAAATGAACAAAATATGTGTGTGGAATGAAATGCGTATGTGAACAAAAGTGCTCCCCAAGTGCAAGAAGTCTTTTGTGTGTCGTTGTTTTACTTGGAAAAGTATTCTAAGGTCGTCTCCTAAGGAGAGGAAAGTTTAAGTGTGTGAAAGTGATTTTGTGAACAAAAGAAAAAGTGTAAAATCTTGTAGTTGGTTTTGGTGAGTTTTGTTCTTTAATGAAAATGCAAGAAAACAAGTGTTGGCTAATCCAAAGAGGTCATTTCAATGGGAATCCCAACTCAACACGAAACTTTCCTCCAACGGTGCATAGATGAACAATTGATTCGTGGGAAGCTACGGATGAGATGGTGAGGATCCAAACATAAACCGTGACCGGGCCAACAGAATATCAAAGACTCACAACCACATCCACTCTCAACTCAGTCAAACCGAACCATCGTACACCGAGAGGAGGAAAGGAAATGAGTTGAAATGGCATGTTCACGAGGAGGTCTCCCACTACAACAAAAATCATTTTTTGCGACGATTTTTTTCGTCACTAAATTAAAAAAAATCGTCTCCAAAAGTTTTTTGCGACGTTTTTTTTTCGTCGTGTGTTCGTTATAAAAAGTATTTTGTGACGCAAATTTATTTTCATCGGAAAAAAAAAAATTGCGACGAAACAAAATTGTCGCTAAAAGTTAAAAAAAACGTTGCTAAAATATATTCCACCAGATTTAGAAAATAAAAAATATTATTTTAATTAATTTTTTGCGACATAATAAAATCGTCGCGAATAATCTTTTCATAAATAAAAATAATAATTTAATTACTTTTTAGCGACGTAAAAAAATCGTCGCAACTAATTTTTTCATAAATAAAACATGTAAAAATTATAATTTAATTAATTTTTAGCTATGTAAAAACATCGTCGCGAATAATTTTTTCATATATAAAAAATGTAAAAAATAATAATTTAATTAATTTTTAGCGACGTAAAAAAATCGTCATGAATAATTTTTTTATAAATAAAAAATGTAAAAAATAATAATTTAATTACTTTTTAGCAACGTAAACAAATCATCGCAAATAATTTTTTAATAAATTAACAATCTAAAAAATAATTGAATAAATACATTTGCGACGTATAAAAATCGTCGCGAAAAAGCTTACTCCTGCAATTTTTTGCGACGATTTTTATTTCGTCGCAAAAAAATTCATTTTTTTTATTTTACATAAAAAATGATATTTTAATAAAATTTTTCACCTATACAATAATAATACTTGTGTTCAATAAAAAACCAACACAATTCCACATCTTTTTAAAAAAAACAAAATGTTATTTCCAAAAAAAATTAATTACAAGAATCAAAAAACAAGTTCTAAAAATAGAAAAAATGGTTTTAATCTTTCAAGGGGATTTACACCATCTCTAATTACATTTAATGTCTCTTAAATTTGAATAGCTCCAACAGTCCAGCTCCATGCCTTGAAATACCATCTCCAAGCTCAACACTATTCAGAATCTGCATAATCAAACTAATCACCACACACAACCATTCCATTTGAAATATCTGCCAACATGATTGTTTTATGCTTGTCACAAACCTATCAAATACATGGAAAATATTAGAACTAAAAATTTATAGGCCATCAAGAGAATTCAAAGTAAGCTCTATCATTTAACAAAACAAATCTATCAGATGATATCCAAAATAAATTGATCTAGAGAAAACATTGTATTAAACGAACACATGGAAAAGTTATAGTTACATATTCATTTTAGACAGTGAAAATAAGTTTGTTTTAGGTACCATTCAACTTGTCAATAAATTTGGATAGAACCATGGCTATAAGTATAGTTGGAGTAGCTCATTATTTACTACATATGACGTTAGGACTCCCAGATCTGTAAAGAGTAGGGTATCCTATAGTTAATTATTTATATCCACTACTTATACACAAAAAAAAGTGCCACTGTTTTCATGACCAGTTATTGACTTACACCACCTCAGAATGGAGTTAAAACCATAAGTACCCCTACAAAATTTAGTGTAAAATCCAAATGAATATTACCATCGCCTCTTACAACCAGTAAAAGAATATTAGGCAGCACTTTTGAATTATAATTTACTTACACGTGAACAGTTTAATATTTTTTATTGTTGACAAGTTTTGAAACAGATCACCCATATGGTGCCGTTGATCTACCGAATCATTCTAAATTTTATTATAGTGGTAACACAAGAGTTGCACTGACATTTTCTACAAAAGTAGAATCCTATGAATTACCACGTGCCCAACCTATGGTAGAGACTAGTATTCGTAAAAAAAGCCACCAGACACCTGGTGGGTAAACACTGACTTAGAATCAGAAAGAAGCATGTTGACATGTACTACTTGAATCAGGAAGTTGTAGTTCTTACCATTGGAGCCAAGAATAATGCAGCATCTGCAACCCGAAAAGTAACAATAACATTGGGTTTGTACCTTTTCATACATTCAACAATTGGAGCATCTCCCATATAAACACCAGTGCCCTGCGTAAATATAACAGAAAAATATCAGCCAATTTTTTATATACTAGGGAAATGAGGAGGATGGAAAAGGAATAACAGGAAGTAAATGCTTTAAGTATAAAGAAACAGGGATAGACTTAAATTCTCATCTGCAGGTCCCCACCCCCTCGCAGAAGGGGCAAAATGATAGAAGCATACAAGCAGAGCAGCAGGAAGCAGCTGACAAACCAAGAGTAGCTGAAAATAGAGCAGCAACAAACAAAGGCAGACTAGCTGAAGAGACCAGAGAAGCATCAGAGAGGCAGCTGAGAGCCAGCAGAATGCAGCAGAAAAAAGCCATCTGAGAGGCAGCAGCATCAGAAATTCCAGCTGAAACACAACAACTGCAGGAGATCAGGGGCAAAAATTCCAGCTAAAACCCGCAGAAGAAGGCTGAAAAGCCATGAGAAGAACCAGTAGAAAGTGAACTGAAAGATCACCACATCGAAGCTAAAAGGAGCATTTGGCAGACTTAGAAACCATAAATAGCAAATATAAACCAGCTGAGAGCAGGGGCAGAGCTAGGATCCTCTCTTAGTGGGGGCAAAAAAATGACTAAAAAAAATTCACTAATTGATAAAAAAAAATTTCAAGTTCAAGCAAGACAAAGTGTTTTAGAATCAAGACTAATTTATTATATGAAACTACAAAATAAAATTTCCTTTAAAATATGATCTATAAATAACTTTTAAATCTCAAAAATAGGTTATAAGTGATTATTTTTAGTTACTTACTAAAAGAAAAAATGTCAGGGATAACTTCACATTTATTTTCCTCAATCCAAAAATAAAACATTTGTTTCAAGCGGGCAATGAGGCAGTGAACTACTAAGTTGTTTAAAAAAAAATGAAAAAAAGACTTTGATCACTATTAATTCTCAAAAACTTACGGGGGGGCAAGTGTATTAAATTTAAATAAAGTTAAGTCCTTAATATGTCATATGTATAGCTGATCAAAAGTTCAGTGGGGCAAATGCCCCCATACCTGATTACATAGCTCCGCCCCTGGCTGAGAGAACCTTATAAGAAAGCAGATGAACACCAGCAGAGTAGGGGAGATAGGAGAGCAGCAGAGAAAGATGAAGACTAGAAGAAAACCAGCTGAGAAGACTAGAATAGCCAGCTAAGAGGCAGTTGAGATCCAGCAGAACAGCAGCAGTCAGACTGTTCACGTGAACAGTACACAGAAGCCCAATCAAGACAAAGTGTTTGCGCAATAGAATAGGTGTGTTTCACAAAGGTTTCCCTATTGGTAGAAACAGCACAGATACTGCAATCAAATGTCAATCCAATGTTAAAACAGAAGAAATAAGTGCCAAGCAATATGCTTAAGTTACCTGATATGGGTATGTGAATAATGCTAGAGAACAGACACCAATAAGTACACCCTAACTAAAGCATACAGATAAATGGAGAATATGCTTTCACTGAATCCTTAATATTTTACAAAGATAACTTCTTTTAGTTTATTCATTGCGCTTAGAAACTGCACCCATACAAAACTTAATATTTAATCAATGTGGACTGAAAGACATACCATTTAGATTATTCAATCAATCACTGCCAAAATCTTCATAACTGAAGCCTTCTGATATAGTGTCCAACCTCTTACCGTCTCCTGACGGGCCAGGGCACAATAATCATTTACCCTCCTGAATAGAGAACAAGGTCAAATGGAAAGAATCTTACCTTGGTGGTCTCCCCTATCACTTGGATCGAAGTAATTGTCTGTACCTGCTTCCTGGAAGGGTGACCTAGAGTAGCTCTCCAATATATCTGAGGTGAAATAAAAAAAGGGCTTCAGGTCATGTAAATGTGTGAAGTAGGATAAAGCTCTTGCATCTTGGCGAAAAAATTTCTAAATGAGTCAAACTAACTTGCTGACAATGTAGTTGATCCATCAGAATTCAACACACACACCCACACATACACACATAGATAGAAAGAGAACCCGAACTATTAGAAAAGTCAGCTGCCAAGTCTGATAGACTGAAGTTTTGAGGTATCTGTCCTAAAAGTCCAATTGAAGAGACATTGGCATCCAGGATTGTTCCATTCAGTGGTTGCGAATTAGACTCTATGCTGCTGAAAGATGAATATAAAGCATCCCCAATAGCAGGACGTGTTTCCAAGACACTGCCATCAGCACCAAACAAGTACTAAGAATTTCTGACATATCCAACTTCGGATTTGATCATCCCCCCATTCATTCCTTGTATCATTCCCACATTTGAAACCTGAGCCAACAGTACGCTTGGTGGTACATCAATCCTTCTGGCATGAGCAGAGATATCAACAGCTGTTTGCTGGCGTTGGTGAAGTGATGACCCACCATTGGGGAATGCATTTGGTAAAGTGGTATCTATAGGCTGTTGCATGTTATCAGGCTTTAGAGCAGGTCCAGTTTGGTCTGTGACATAGCATGTTGTGTTCTGGTGCACTGTAGCAAACACCACTAATATAATTAGTAGGAGTTAGACCAATCAGACTTTGGAATTTATAGCAGCTGGATACTAAAGTGAAGCACAGATTATTAACAAAATTACTCAAATATTTTTCACGACGCCTAAAAATAAAATTTGAAAGGTTCAGACTTGCAAAGTTCAATATGCTGGTATGCAGGAACATAGCCATATTCTATTGAGTATGTATCGGGCTTTAAAGGTTTTCCATTGTATTTAACGGAAGCCATGGAGGATGTTACTACCACCCTTTTGATAGATGAAACTTTTGCATATGATGTCAGAACATTAAGTGTTCCCTTCACAGCAGGCTCAATTAATTCTGCCTGAAACATGGAAATCAAATGATAAGCAGCCCTTTCTATATACAGTTTATCAAAATAAGCCAATAAAATCCTTTCCTCTACTATCATGTCACTACCAACTTTCCCCTGCAAAAAATTTCATTGATCGCTCTAAGATGGGGAAAAAGAGGGAAAGATGGGGAAAGAGGAAAAAAGAGTTGGGTAAGGGGAAAATTTTTTAAAAAAAAGGCAAAAAATGCCTAAAACGAAGTCGTTTTATTTTTTTAATATTATATTCGCCTACGAAAATAAAAACGTCGCGATTTAAAATTTATTTTATTTTATTTTAACTTTAAATGTGGTTATAATTTAAATGCTGCGACGAAAATAAAAAACGTCGCAAATTAAATTTTTATTTTTTTAATATTTCAGACAAACTTATAAATTTTCTTGACAAACTTATAAATATTTTGGACAAACTTATAAAAAACGTCGTCAATTAATATTTTTATTTTTTTTTTACTTTAATAACTAAAGTTAACATTCTACTCGCAAAATATTTTCCCTAAAAAAATTTTCACAAACCAACATTACTTTTTTCCCTTTTTTCACATTATGCCACGTTTATGTATATCGAATACAAAAAGTATAGAAAATCACCAAAACCTATCCCTCCCACAATTCTTCCTCCCACGACCTGTCCAATACCTCTGCCAAATTTCCACTTGGGATTGAGTCAATCTGCAAAACAAAAAAGTGAAAAAAAGAAAAAAAAATTCAAGAAAAACCCCCCTATTTTCTCTGCTGAGAGCTACCAAACTGACACTCAAGACAAAGTAGTTTTTCAAATTCACAGAGTAATAATTAAGGAACAAGAAAATAGACACTCAAAACCACTAATTCCAATAACTTAACCAAGTCATTGCAAATATTTAATAAGTTTAAATTAACATAAAATGTGAGACTCACAAGAATCATACGGAATCTGCACTTTTCATGTAGAGATGCAAAAACTCACCTAGTAACTTTTCAATGGGATCTTTACCTTAGCAATGGGAGGGTAAGAAATGATTTGGTTCAAGATTGAGGGCAAGCAACACTCCGGCTCGTAGAGGGAAGAGAACAAAGAGAATAGCGACAATGAGAGAGAGAGAAAGAGAGACATTACTGTGTATGTTGACTGAAATAAGCAAAGAGGGAGATATTGGAAAAATGAGAAAGAGGGAAAAAAAGGATGGGCAATGAATCTCAATTTATGTAGGTGGTTTTTTTTTTTTTTAATGTCCAAAACGACGTTATTTTGAATTTTTTAAAAATTATATTCTACGACGAACATAATGTCGTAATTTAATATTTTTATTTTATTTTACCTTTAAATGCGGTTGTAATTTACATTATGCCATGAAAATAAAAACGTTGCAATTTAATATTTTTATTTTATTTTAATTTATTTTTTAATTATTTTTTTTTTGTGACAAATTATTTTTTACCAAACTAACAAATTTTCATTTCCCGCCATTGCTCGTGCAAAAAAAGAGACAAAAAATGACAATTTTACGACGAAAAAAATGTCGTGCATTAAATATTTTGACTTTATTTTAATTTTAGATTATTTACTTTTGCGATGAAGAAAAACTATCTGCGACAAACAAAATTTTGTCATAAAACATTATCAATTTCCGCCATTTCTGGCACAAAAAATAATTATTTGGGAATCACCTTTTCACAGTTTATTTTAAAAACGTCGCAAAAAAAATTTGCATCGAAACTATTTGCGACACAATTATTAAATCGTCTCGGACAGTACAATTTTTGTAACGAAACAAAAACGTCGCAATTAATCTTCTAATTCTAATTTAAAATTACAAAGTAAAATATAATTTGCGATGCATATATAAATGTCACGAAATAATAATTTTATTTGATATAAAAATAAAATTTATATTCTGCGACGAATTTTTAAAAACGTCGCTAAAAAATAAATATTCCCGAAAAAATAATAAAAAAAATTGCTAATTAATATTTATATTCTGTGACGATAATATTAAATGTTGCAAATTAAATATTTTGACTTGGTTTTTATTTTTATTTTACATTTTTTTTGCAACGAATTAAAATTATTCGAGACAAAAACATTTTGTTGCAAAACATATCAACTCCCTTCATATTTCTCGCGCCAAGAAAAAAATTTGATTTGAATTACCCTTTCGTGACGTTTTTAACATCGCCAAAAAAATTTGCCAAAAATACTATTTGCGACAAAAATGTGAAATCGTCCCGGAAAGTTCATTTTCTGCGACAAAAAAAAAACGTCGCAATTAATATTCTAATTTTAATTTAAAATTACAAATTAAATACTAATTTGTGAAAAATATTAAAATGTCACGAAATAATAATTTTATTTAATATAAAATAAAAATTATATTCTGCAACGAATTTTTATAAATGTCGCACAAAAATACCTATTTCCGAAAAAATAATAAAAAAACGTCGCTAATTAGTATTAATTAAAATATATATTCTTTGACTTTATTTTTATTTTGATTTTATATTATTATTTTGTTTGCAACGAATTGAAACTATCGACGACAAAAAAAAAATTTATCACAAAAAATATTAACTCCCCGCCCTTTTCTCGCCCCAAAAAATTTTGGTGGAAATCTCCTTTTCACATCCCAAAAAAATTGCCAAAAACACTATTTGCGACAAAAATATTAAATCGTCGTGGCAAGTTCAATTTTTGCGACAAAAAAAAACGTCGCAATTAATACTCTAATTCTAATTTAAAATTACAAATTAAATTCTAATTTGTGACAAATATTAAAATGTTGAGAAATAATAACTTTATTTAATAAAAAATAAAATTTATATTCTGCAACGAATTTTTAAAAGCTTCATGAAAAAATAAATATTCCCGATAAAATAATAAAAAACGTTGCTAATTAATATTAATTAAAATTTATATTCTGCGATGATAATATTAAACATTGTGAATTAAATATTTTGAGTTTATTTTTATTTTAAATTTATATTATTTTTTTGCGACGAAGTAAAACTATCCACAACAAACAAATTTTGTTGCAAAAAATATCAACTCCAGCCATTTTTCTTGTGCCAAAAAAATTTGGTGGGAAACTCCTTTTCACGATGTTTTTTTAAAAAATGTTGCAAAAGAATTTGCCAAAATCACTATTTGCGACAAAATTATTAAATCGTCGCGGATAGTATAATTTTTGTCGACGAAAAAAAAACGTCGCAAAATATGATTTTTGTTGTAGTGTTCCTTGGATTAACCAACTTAAAATCTAGCTACTCATGAAAGTAAGAAATGCATAATGTAAAGAGACATGATATTGAAATGGAAGTTGAACTTGTATTGAAATGACGAGAAATGAAACTAGAAAAATAAGTGCATTTTAATACCCAATTAAAAAGTTTGAAATGTAAAACTTAAACAACAATGGTGAAATCTAGAATACTTAACTAAACTTGCAAACCACTTGAAGTAAATGACATTCAAAGTAAATAATGAAGCTTACAAGTGAAAATGGATGAAGGAAACGTAAAAATCTAAGTTTTTTTTTTATCTATTATTCATCATCTTCTTCTTAAGCTTAGGTAGCCACCATTCAAATGTGAGTGAAATACTAAATATATGGTGAGAGAGGATGCAAATTTCGTCCATGAGGCTCCCCATAGCCTGTGTGTAGGCCTCCTATCAATGGGAGGTGAGTTGATTGGCTTGGCAGGCTAGGAGAAGACTAGCCTGCAACTCCTCTAGCAACCCCCTTCTCTCCTATCCTCATTAATGCCAATGCCTCCAAAGTCTAAGCAAGGGTGTTGAGAGACATGTAGATGTGTAAGGGATGTCAGGAGACAAGTGGACGAATCAATAGTGGGACCCTCAAATAAGTAGAGCATGAGTTGTAGGCGTTCTGGGCATTCTGCGCAAAACCTTCCAGAAGGTTGATTCCAGTAGGCAGAACCTTTCGGAAGGTGATAGTTCAAGACCACTTTTAGTAAAATTACCAAAACGTTTGATCCAACTGTTGGATTTAGCTGAAATGTTGACACAATATAAAAGACATTCATAACTACAACTTTTATGTTTTGAACTTTTTCAGATTCAAAGTAGATCATGGTCAAAAATAGGAGAAACAGTGGTACTATGTCAAAACCTTGGGAAACCAGTAGGCAAAACCTTCTAGAAGGTTTATGGCCATATCTTCCAGAAGGTTTTCATCCAAATTGTAATTTTCTTGGTTTCTTCACCTTCCAAGCCTTCCTAGCCTCATTCAATGTGTCTATCTCTTGACCACACATTCACACTTAGTTACAAAACTCTAAAAGCCATCATTTATGCTATAATTACCTGCAACATCAAAATTTTCACATTATTCCTAACTTTGACTAATTCTAAATAATTAATATGTAAATTTAAGTTACAAAGCATGAAATGAGGCCAAAAACTATGCAATGTTTTGTGCTCAGCACTACATCATGTATTTGTCAAGCCATTTGGCTTAAAAATTTGTTGAATGAGCTTCATTTGCCTCAAGAAGAATTAACAGAGATCTTCATTGACAACAAATCGGCACTAGCGTTGGCAAAAAATCCAGTGTTTCATGATCGTAGTAAACATATTGACACAAAGTTCCATTTCGTTAGAGAGTATGTGACCAAGAAAGAGCTGGAGTTCAAGTTAGTGAAGTCTCAAGATCAAATTGCCGATATTTTTACTAAGCCCCTCAAAGAGGATGTCTTTTGCAAATTGAGAAGTTCGCTTGGAGTTGAGAAGAAAAATCATGTTTAAGGGGGAGTGTTGGAAAAATAATATTAAACATGACTTTTCATGTTTTAGGAGTTATTTTTATGCATTTAGTTTTGTGTATTAGTGGGTCATCAATTTGGTATAAATGGGGGACAAAGTAATTGTGGTATTTTAATTCTCCAAGTAATGGAAGAGTGAGGTCTTTATTATTTTTATTATTGTATTATGTAGTGGGGTTATTTTGTATGTCATGAGAGTATATATATCATATGTAATACATCTATTTGAATATGAGTGAATACAAAGAGTTCTTATAATCTTCAATAATCTCTTCCATTATATTTTTTTTTGTGAGTGT